TTATCCGAATTCGGCACTAAAGTAGTCAACAATCGGCAGTAAAGTAGAACTTTACTGCCGATTTAATACGAGTATTGTATGCAACCGCCTATACATTTTAAGATGTGTCTACTGCTCCTCAGCAGCAATTAAATAATATTAAAAAAAGCACCGTCACGGAGGTCGATTGGAACCTTTGTTTGATAAAAATAATAAGTTAATTTTATTAATTAGATTAAAAAATCGCCGCGGCGGGCAAATATCTATTAACCGTCGCAACAAACAGTATACGTAGACACTTCCTACATTCAAATGACATTTGATTTGATCATCAAATGAGATTTGATTTAATCATCAATATTAATTATTAGCATTATTAAATGTGGTTTCTGATAAAATTTAATATGCACCTCGGCATTAAAGTAATTTTTTATCACTAAAAAACTAAAAGAGCGATTTTATACAAAAAATCCTTCGAATCGGGTAAAACTTTGACTCGCTAGCGATACAAAGATTGTTCGTTCTTGATTTTCATTAATAAAAATTTTATTCCGCCCCCTTAGAAACCGATAATTTATTTGGGACCCAAGTTTTATCACCTGTAGATACGGTCGTTCGGGTGCTGTCGTTTGGCGATCGGCCGGCGTCGCTCGTGCTTTCAGGACTGAAATATGTGCGGTAGTCTGTTGCCTGGGTTCGCCAGGAAAAGGATTATTTTGCAGGAACGGACATTTCCACCACTTTTTTTTAACCTCAACACTGGCTTTATTATTTCGCACGGGTTCAGTTAAAATAACAGTGACTCCATCGATTTTACTGAAATTATGTGTTTCCTTCGAATTATTCACCAAGTGCGCAAAATATATACAGAGTGTTTAGATTTAAATGTTAAATTTACTTTTTTTGAACGACATTGCACTTGTTAATTGTATCGATTCGACCGTTAAAATATATCGATAGACTCTGTGAAGTGAAGTGCTATAAACGAAGTGCCTGCTAATTTTAAAAAATAAATCGTTTTCCGATACCGAAAAAAAATAAGTGTGCGTTGTGAAATGTGGGTCACGTTTGGGTAAATTGCATTAAATTTGATTGATATATTAGGCTGAACAACACCTACACATTCTTGGGTAACAAGTTTATACATATAAATAGGTTCTAATGAAGCGGTACAAACGATGAATTGTTAATTTCGCGCTATAAATTTGGCAACATCCGACAAATTAAAATCAAACGCGCGAGGGCACTCGTGCGACATCAAAAACGATATACGAATGCAGTTTTATCTTTTCAAGTAAATTTGACAATTTTTAAAGTGCTGTTTTACGAGCAATTTTTGTTCAATTTTAACCAATTTTACAACATTTTGTAACTTTATTTATCCAGTAACTATATTGTGTTAAAATTTCAACCGCGCGTGTTAAAATTCATATTCACGGTTATTTTAACTTGAACAAGAGCTCCTAAAAAATCATAAAAAATCTTAAAACAGTTATGACTAGTTTTCTGACAGTTCTAAAATACTTATAGCTATCTTGTTAACATTCTTAAGACAGTTATAGCTAGTTTAAATTAAAATTCTTAAAACCGTTATGGTTAGTTTAAATTTACATTCTTAGATAGCCATGGCTAGCTTCTTAAAATTAAGAGCTATCTTTTGACATTCTTAAGACAAGTATAGCTAGTTTAAATTGACATTCTTAAGATAGTTATAGCTAACTTAAATTAAGATTCATAGGACAGTTATGGCAAGCTTCTTGGCATTTTTTAAGATAGTTATAGCTATCTTGTTACATTCTTAAGACTGTTATAGCTAGTTTAAATTTACATTCTTAAGATAGTTATAGCTAGCTTCTTGACATTTTTAAGATAGTTTAAGCTATCTTGTTACATTCTTAAGACTGTTATAGCTAGTTTAAATTTACATTCTTAAGATAGTTATAGCCTTCTAGTTGACATTCTTAAAACCATTATAGCTAGTTTAAATTGACATTCTTAAGATAGTTACAGCCATCTTGTTGACATTCTTAAAACCTTTATAGATAGTTTAAATTGACATTCTTAAGACAGTTATAGCTAGCTTCTTGACATTTTTAATATAGTTATAGCTATCTTGTGACATTTTTAGGACAGTTATAGCTAGTTTAAATGACTTTCTTAAGATAGTTATGGCTAGTTATAGTTATAACCATATTGTTGACATTCTTAAAACCGTTGGCCAGTTATTTAAGTTACTTATAGCTATCTTGTTGACATTCTTAAGATAGTTAAGCTATCTTGTTGGCATTCTTAGAACACTATAGCTAGTTAAAATTGAAATTCTTAAAACCGTTATGGCTAGTTTAAATTTACATTCTTAGACAGCCATGGCTAGCTTCTTGACATTAAGACGTTATAGCTAGTTTAAATTGACATTCTTAAGATAGTTATAGCTATCTTGTGACATTCTTAAGACATAGCTAGTTTAAATGACACTATTAAGATAGTTATAGCCATATTATTGACATTCTTAAAACCGTTAGCTAGTTTGTAATAACATTCTTAAGACAGTTATGCCAATCACTTAATACAAGAAAACCATACTTTTAATAACAATTTTAAAATTCCACATGTAGAAAATAAAGGCATAAAATTTAATTTGTTGGAGTCACTGGAAAATAACAAATTGAAAAGGACTGATATTGTATTGAATGATCAAAAAGAGACCAATAATTCACCGTTATTAAATTTATTTGAATTATTCACACAATAAGAATATATTGTAGTACAATAAATTAGGTTTTTCCATCATTACTCTCTTTCAATTTATTAAGCAAATATTGTTCAGGTAGATCCAAAAATTTTGTACCATAAAACATTGTGTTATATAAACTCACTTAATAATAAGTTCAAATACATTCTGAAGAAGTCACTGTGTGACGAAACAATTGTCAAAATTAAATAAATCACATGAAGCTTAAAAAACCTACTAATTTTTATATCTACATAATAATAACAGTTATGGCTAGTTTCTTAAGATAGTTATAACCGTTATAGCTAGTTTGAATTGACATTATTAAGATAGTTATAGCCATATTGTTGACATTCTTAAAACCGTTAGCTAGTTTAAATTAATATTCTTAAGACAGTTATGTCTAGTTTCTTAAGATATTTGTAGCTATCTTGTTAATATTCTTAAGATAGTTAAGCTATCTTGTTGGCATTCTTAGAACACTATAGCTAGTTTAAATTTACATTCTTAAGACAGTTATAGCTATCTTGTTGACATTCTTAAAACCGTTATAGATAGTTTAAATTTACAGTCCAAGTTGATACAGGGTGTGTCAATGGAGAGTTAACACCTCGGTTTTCTAAGGTGTAAGGTAAAAAAAAATGTTTGGGTCAATTTAGTTTTATAGTTTAACCCCTAAGCAGGGGTGATGGTTACTTCTACAATTTTTAAAGGGAAGGGGGGTCTAGTAATACCTTATTTTAAAGGCCTTTTATGTTAGGACCAATGATCATTGAATAAAGTATTTGATTAAAAAAATATATATATACAAATTTGAATGGTTGCAAATCGAAAATATATGAAAGATATACTCGTAGGTTTATATATCTGTAACCCAAAGCCAAACTATATTAAGTCCACTCTTTTAAAATCACGTTAAAAATTGGCTTACTTAGTTTTTCATACATTAAAAAACTAAGAATACAATAAAAAGTATAAAGTTTATAAAAACAAAGCATTATCGAAAATGGCAAGAACTTTGAAAAGTTTGTCAATATACCTTTTTAATTACATTTGACGCCTTATCGAACAAAAATCCGAACAAAATCAAACAAAACAACAAAACATCGAAAAAAACAACTGCATGTGATTTAAACTGGCGAGCGTTTAGGTCACGTAACGTCAAAACATGCAAACAAATTTCGAATCGAAAAATATTACAATAACAATGAAAGCCTTTTTGTTTAATACCTACCTAGCGAAAAAATTAGTGGAAAGGTTAGATGTCAGATTACGTCGAAAGGCCCGAATTATTTTCATGGCAATGAGGAAGATTCTATTTTTGTTAATAACACACTGTGGACATTGAAAGATGGAGAATCCTTAGACCATGCATCTCTAGATAGATATTCCTTAGACCAAATGCCTCTAGATCAACTAATTGATGTCTTATTTAATAAAACAAATAAACGATTTCATGAGAATTGCATGAAACTTTTAATTTCATAGAAAACGGTTGATATGCAAATAAGCACATTGCAAAACACAGAAAATAAATTTAAAATATTTCAACATTAATAGTTTTAGATAAACCGTTTGCATTTAAATTTAACCATACTAAACAAAGTTTAGTACGTAGCCGCGTTGCCAAATTGCATTAATAAAATTAACATTTCTCTCCCTTCACTTCAACTGCGTATGTTAAATGGAGTTTTCAATACACAACTGTTAAAATGGGTTGCAGAAAACATTAAAATTAGAGCAAATTCGAAATTATGTCGAAACACAGACTGCACAGACTCTAACGGTTGTTTACAATTGAATCGGTGAGAATAAGAACAGTGCAAGTCCAAAAATTTAACTTTTTAAATCAATCTCTGTATATCTCATGACATAAATTATATCGACCCAATGACCTCTGACATTTCCCGCTTTCATCTTCCCGACCTTCTCTATGCATTTAATGGATTTTCATCCAATAAATATTTCTTATTGTTTTTGAGAATATTTGACCTATACGTATAGATTGGAGATTTTTTCAATAAAGTTAACAACAAAAAACATAAACTTCATTAATGAAAAATGCAATTATTATTTTAGCTTTATTTTAACATATTAAATTTAATGCGGTAGGAAACATGCAAAGGCGTGTCGAAACGACCCCATTATGGGTGTGCTCAATGTTAAAAAAATATTGAGCCTACTGCAATGTTTAAGGAAATATAAATAAAAATCGTTCGACTCGATAAACATTTTGGACCAACTCATGTATATTTCAGGTTTTCTAGAATGTGTTGATTGTTTCTTTCAGGATGTCATGATAATTTTCCGTCGTCCTTTTCAATCCTTATTCCATATTTTTTTTAGAAAATTTAATCTGAATGTGTTCACTATAAGGCACAGCAAAAAGCAATATTTAAAATTATATCTAAAAGACAATATTTAACATGTTTAGTATATAGCGCCGAATTGTTAAATGTTTAATTGTTTGTAAGTAAATTTTATATTTAAAACACATTATATATTTTGTAGTATTTTTAGAACATGTTGAAGCTATTACCGACCTATCCATACATTACAATGAAACAAAAACGAAACATAAAATTTACAAAAATTAAATTAAAAACAACCACAACAAGCAATCCTAGATCAATTTAACAATCATTTGTTGTAATTTTTGTACATATTAAACAAAACAATAATAATCAAATGAATTGAATTAGTACAAACATGTTTATTACGCACAAACAAATCAAAAAAATAAATTAACATTGCTGGAATCTGAGCTTAATGTACACCTCGTCTTAATTTGTTATTCTGCTACAATATTTACAAAACCGACCGAACGAAAAATAGAGCATGTACGCGGCAGCAGGGGGCGCTTCCCTGGCGTCCCGCCAGGCGCGCCAGAAGCAGCGCCAAAACAAAAAGCAGCAGGCCTTGAAGAACGCGAACCTGACTCCCAAGCCGCAGCAGGCGAAGAACTTCCAGAACTACACGGACCCGGCCGTGCCGAGGCTGTCTCGCGTGGAGAGGGGGGCGCTGCGGCCGCCTCAGCCCCACGAGAGGCGGCACAGCACCTCCAACTACCACCTGAAAGAGCCGGGGCGCGCCCGCATCCGCGAGAGCCCCTCCATCTCCATCCCCGTCGTTCCCAACCACCAACCCGCGCCCCTCACCCCCTGCGCCCTGGTGCAGCAGCACCACCACCACCACCACGGCCACATGCACCCGGCGCACTCCACGGCCACCTTGCATCACCCGGCGCAGAGCCAGCTGCCGCAGATTTTCATACCGGAGGACAGCAAGCTGGAGAGGAGATGCAGCTTCGTCAGGCAGGTGGAGGAGATGGAGAAGCCGCAGCCCGGCGACGTGCTCGACAGGTGCAACCACATCTGCAACTTCGAAATCAACGACAAGCAATGGGAGAATCAGAATTTTTACACGGAGTACGATAGGGACCCCTTCGGCAGCCTAGAGTATCCATTTTCCGAGGTAGTTTACTACACTGTTCAAAATTTCATAACACCAAATTAACACCATACAGTAGAAACCACGAATATATGAACGTGACTCATCAGGCACAATCGTACGAAGCAATCTATCGAAGGTCACGGTCCAGTGCAGTGCTGTTCTAACGGGGGCATAAGTATTTGTAAAAAATCTTGAGTGTAATGTTGGTTGCTATACTTCTGATATATTTGCTTTTAAAGTTAAATAAATAAACTTTTCTTTTAACTTTAAACGCAAATATTTCAGAATTGGTGACAAAAAACAAAAATGTTTACGCAGGTCTTGTACAAAGTGAAAGATATTTAAATTGTGTGGATATAAAAACAACTTGCGTTAGTTTCACGAAATTTATTAAATATTGACAATTGTTTTGCTACACAGTAGCTTCTTCAGAATGTATTAAACTAATACTAGTACAAAATTTATATAATAAAAATATTTTTGTATTCTAGCCTAGAATTTCTAGGTAAGGACATCTACCAGTGTTAATAACAATACAATAACAATTGCAATAAAAACCACTAGCACTACAACGTTTAAAACGATTATTAATCCATAAACACACAGCAGGAACACGATATGCAAAAACAAAGATCATATGACATATAAAAACAAATGGCCGACGGTAGAGTTGGTTGCCTTACTATGTAATAAAATAAAATAAATTGCCTAAAACACGAACTCTGCTGAATTCCAACAAAAATAAGTAACAAGCTAGGACACGCGTCATATGTCCATCTTTGTCCAACACCTAGGCAGTTTTACATCACAGATGGCGCATTTTAGACCGGATGCGTAAAAACCTACGTGTGAGTACATTTACCGCTGCATCGAATGTACAAGACAAGTAAAACATTACTGCTAGCATGTCTGAGATATGTTCGGCACCCGATGAGTCATGTTCATATATTCGTGGTTTCTACTGTACATGGTCTATATCGATACAAACCAAAATGGTGTTCAATATGGTTCGTTGGTCCGGTGTAAATTCAAATACTAAAATAGTGTTAATTTAACTTTCACACAGTATTTTACCTGGTGTAAATTGAACTCCTTGTCAGTGTTAAATATTATGTGTTTGTGGTCAAATTAAATCATACTACACAGAAAAAAGGAAACAGGTTCCTTGACGTATTACTAGCATATTACCAGTGGTATTATTCCAGGAAATGGAACCTTCAACTCGCTAGAGATAATGTTTTATTGCATTCCACTAACATAAAATTCTTCAAGTATTTACAGCTGTTTTCACCTATTTAAGGTCTTTTTAGTATCGAACAACTTGTAGTGTCACACCAAAGCAAAGGACTACCTGAGCTTATATATTCTTTATGTAAGAACATCACGTGATCCACACCGCCTTTGCCGTGATCGGTACACACTATGCAACCGGGAATGCACGGCAAATTGTTTTAATCGTTTTAACAGAGTGCTTTAGGTTGAAGTAACTCTTATTTTAAAAACAACATATTTAGTAAAGTGAACCATACAGCGGGTTGGTTTCACTAAAGTTTTCTGGGTTAACCAATTTAAAAAAAAAATAACTATTTGGTTTAGTACCGTCAGATTAATCTTTGTTTATATTAACCTTCCCACAGTTGATAAAAATAAAAAAATAAATACTTATGGGTCAACTAAATTAATATAGTTAAATGAACTATTCCTTTTTTTCTGTGTAGGTGCACTTCTCAAATATTTTTAGATAAACATCGTTTTGGTGTTTGCTGTATGTAACATTTTCAACCATAATTCATGGTGTTATATAACACCATGAATTATGGTTGAAAATGCTAATATATATTAGCACCACTTGGTGTTGGATTTTGACACCATTTTAAGATTACTCTTTACACCACAGATATTTTAAACAGTGTAATAAAGATTTATTTAACCCTAAATCAAATAAATATAAATATATAAAAGGTTTGTATTTCGTTCGGCTTAAATACGGCTTGGATCGGGGTGCAAGGTTAACCTAGACAACCTAGTAGTTAAATTCAAAGCCGACGATTAATAATACATTAACTAGCAGCTTTGACTTTACCGGCTCCCTTGGGTGAGCTTCGGGCTAATGAAATTGGCTTTATAATATATCGCCAAAGAATCCCCTCAATTAATATTAATAATGAGATCCGAATATAGATTTAATAAAGTCATTGGAATTTTTACTCTCAACAGGGAATTTGGTCGTTGAATATATTAATCTAGTCGGCTCAAGGCCTCCTCGCCTCCTAGATTCCTGCGACATCTCCATCGCAATATTTGATATCGACTTTTTACCAATGTCCACTATGCCCTTTGGTAATTTTATTTGGATGATTTTTACTTGTGCATCTATTTTTAGATATCGATAATGAATGTGACAAATTTAGGAAATGCGCCCATTAGCTAGAGCGATTGAAATTTAAATTGGACCCCAAATTACCGGAAATCCGTTAACTGTCTCTATTTTCTAACACCATTGTGTTTAATTACTACTTTAATAGCCACAGTGTTAAAGAATATATTCTTTAACACTGTGGCTATTAAAGTAGTAATTAAACACATATATATCTTTTCATAAAAATTTGTTAATAAGATTAAAGTTATTATGATATGCAAACATTCAAATTCGTATATCGCGTATATAGCTTTGACTTTGACAATTTTTTTTATGTTGACTAGTGTAATACATTTTGCAACTATTCTATAGGGACTTTGTGCATCGAGTTCAATTAACATATGGACGTTTTGTTTGTATTTAACCTGTACTAAACAATGGTATCCGCTACAACGTGTATATACAAAACAAAGTTAACAGTACACCAAAATGCTCTCATTATTCCGTTTAAACGCTATAATTATTTTTAAGTGAAAGTTTTTCTGTTTACCAGGTAAAAAGAATGTACGTGAGATACTTTTTTATTTTAAACCGTTTCGCAAAATCATAATTTCATTAGAAGATCGCGTTAGGAGATACTTTATTTAGTGGTTATTATAAATGGCATTCTCTATTGTAACGGCTTTAAATAGATTTTAGTGGTTCTTTATTAAAACTTCTTTTGTAAGGCTTATAAAAAGTAATTAAACATTTTTCTATAGAAGCTGTGTAAAACACTAATTGACCCATACGACTAAAACTTCTCTAATTAAAATGTCATTTGAACGAAACCTGGTTTCGCGACGTCATGACATTAAAAAAATGCGCACCCAAGTGACCTTTTTGCCTCCTTTTTAAATAAATTTAAATTGTGAAAAGCTGCATAATTAAAGTGTTTTCATTAAAAAATATATGAATGTAGTTTTTAATATAATCACGCTATACTCTCGACTTACCTTTGACCTTATACGACTAGTAATAGTCCCAAGATTTGTGTTGTTCAGCTCAATATAAAATCAACGAAATATGTGAGGTGTTATGAATCAATCAAAATAGACTGAGTGATGTTAAAACTACTAATAAACAATGAACAATAAAAAGACGCGCTTCGATCCAGGATAAACGAGAGAAAAATCAACCAGACCAAGCTATGGAAGAATTTGGGGCCACACTCATATCAAAATATTATATTATACACCTAGATATACTCTATTTCTATTTCTACAATCTTTCGAGAGATCTACAACTTGAGTAGCAAGCGCAATGACCAATTATATGGAATTGAGGATGATTAGAAAATAATGTAGACCTAACCTCACAACAAAATTGTGATCTTAGCATGCTTAGTGTTTTATGAGTACGGCAGCGACGGCAGGAATGCAGGCCGCGCTCTTGATCAGAGAAAAACAGCGTCTCAGGAATAAAAAATTTCGCAGGGGTCGCGCAGACTTGCCCAGCCATGTGGCTACCCGGGACATAGGGCCCTTCCCGCAATATCCGCCAGGGTTTTTGGTACGAATGATTTTGAATTTAAAGATGTTAAAAGTTTGATAAATCTTGCAGATTATTTTTAAATTTAATTTGAATTTAAATTGGATTTTGATACCATCTGAATGTTATTAAAAAAGCCTTTCTGTTAAATCGAATTATATTTTAAAAGTAAAATACCTTTTCTATCTAAATTAACTTTTTTATATTTTTTTCTATAAAAATTAAATATTTACAAAAAACATATTCGATATTTTTCAAGCATTGATTTTATTTTGTCACTTTTATTATTTTACCTTGTATAAAACGATTCTAACCGTGGTGACCTAATTTTTATACTCGACTCGTAATATCGGTGAAATTAATGCAATTTATTTTTTTTGTTTATCTACGACGTTTTATTATTATTACTTTGCAAAAATGCGCCAATATTAAACAAAAAGCTCATTTTTGTTTTAATACCAGTATTAATAAAAATATACAAAGTTTTTAGCTTGCAATATTATGAATTAGTTTTTAAAAAAATTAAAACGTGCTGATACGCATATTTTTCTACAATCCACACGTTTCGCTCATGAGCATACTAAAAATCTCGAAGTTAGGCAACCGACTGCACAGACTTTAACGGCGGCCATTTTTATGTTAGTATGCCCGAAACGAGTGGATTGTGGATTTATTTAAATTTAAATAATTTAATAATTTTTTTTACTTAGTGTTCTCAAGGACGCGCAGCATGGCAGGAGAGAGAGAGAGGCAGACGCTGTTCTCTCTCGGAAGAAGCGCGGCAACACCGCATAAAACAAACCGAGGCTCATCACCGATGGATGAAGAGGAACAGGGTAAGATTTTTTTTATTAGAATTTTTAAAAAGAGAAAATAGCGTTGATCTATCTCTCTAGATTGTATGACATTTGACAATTAACTTAAAACTAACCCGTGACTAAATCTCCATAAATAATACCTTGTCATATGGTATTTAAAAGATGAGTGTCATGAAAACATGAACAGTAGAAAAAGTAATTAAAATCTATGCTTCAAACAGAATTAATTTGCATAGGTAGGTACTGAATAAACCCATCGACATTTTATTGTTGTATGTGGAACAAAACACAATGTATTATTTCGGCAAAATCCTGGTTGAAATCCTGAAAAATATATGTCCCGTTTCGTTCGATATTCTCGCCAATTATTTTATTATTTCCTTCGACGTTTGTGACAGAATAAATAAATATGCTGTATCAATATACTTTTTTAATAAAAATGTTGGTTTTTAGAGGTTAAATTTACAGAAAACCTTTAGAAAAATGCAAAAAAGAATGCAAAAAGACAAGGTAAGCTGGTTTGAAAATCCTACTAATAAATTCTTACCATTCTACAAATGCAAACATTATCCTAAAAAAATAATAAATATAAATAAATGTATACTTGAGTAATAATAAGAATATGTAAAAATAAATTCAAATTAAAAAAAATATTTTTATTATTACTTTTTTCTTTAAGTGGAGAAATAACTTAACACTTTTTCAATGCACCATATATGAAGAACATTTGGAATGAAATGTTAAAAAAACATTTTTAAAGATTATAAAACTAAATCTTATTCTTGTTTATATCATCAGAATTAAAATGGACCCAATACTTTTTCATTTAGTTGTTAATAATAACAACTTGTAATACTCAAAGATAATTACCCCCATAGATCGGAAACCATATAACAAATATACGTCGGAAACTGACGCTAGCGCTAGTGACAAGAGGCTAAAGTAAAGTAAAGGTGACGCCATCTACAATACCTAAGCAATGCGGAAAATTTAAGTATAGAAATTTTAAAAGGAAACAACGCACACGTCATAATTTTGCGCACTGGTACCAAGTTGGCAGCAATTGCAATGTTGTCATGTTTAGATTAAAATTTTGCTAATATAAATTGACGTTCTAGAATTTTGAATCTGTCAGTTGTGTTTTTGAATATTTCGTTTAATTCGTGTATAATTTCGTTTATTTTGTTTTTTGTCTTTGTTATTTATATCGTTTAAGTTTTCATTGCCGTTTTTGTTTTTGTTATATATCATTTTTTTGTTTTTCCTATATTTAAAATGCCGAAGCATTTAAATAGTCGGAGTCAAGAGTCGGTATCATCCTTAATACGCTATTTTGAGGCAGAACGGGATAATAATGGACCTTTGTTTCCTTTAACAGCTGTTAGAGAGGAAATAGGATAATTAATAATAAAATATACACCAGAGACTGACTTTAGAAGGCGAAATTTCTGGGTTTTATAGCTGAAAATGTCTTTAAAAATGGCTAAAAACATAGTTTTGGCGGTGCATCATATAGGTTATAAAACTCTGACTTTTGACATTTTGGTATTCTAAGGTCCCAAATCTAGGGACCCTATGGTATTATTCATGTAAACGCCATCTATCGCCCTATCACTATCACTTTCACTTGATGCAATGATTTTCATCACATTGACAACCGTGCCCGATCAGCTGATTGATGACGTATACGTCGTTTCCTTTTAAATTTACTATAGATATTGTACTTAGTTTTCATTTTGTTGTTATGAAAACAATTGATAGAGTTAACTCTAATGCAGTTTGCATTATAGTTTTAACGGTTTATCTTTTGATGAACTATCGACTGGTAAAATTCTGATGGTATAAACTGGACCACTCTGTACACATGATTTTAGGATTTTCTTAACAGTTATAAAAACGTTTTTTTTTTTGTTGTAGTGAATCTGCTATCTCTTTTTCTGTAAAATGTCCTAACAATTTTTTAAACGATTAACATTGCTATTTTTAAAGTCTGCGACTCACAGACCTACAAACAAAATGGACTGGCCTTTCCCATTCAAAATACACAATGTTTTGTTGCCAAGAACGATTTAGATTAGGGGTAAAGGAGTAAGGCATAGAAAACAAAGAATAAGGGGAGGGGTGTTTATAAACAAGTTCCCACACCAGTGGCGTTCTGTTTTTGGGATCATAATTTAAATAAAAATATTAAAAATAAATAAAAACATTAAATTGTACATTTTTTTTTAGTTTTTTAATCCTATGTAAAACTTATATTTAATATATATAAATATATAGGTATAACAAAATACTAACCTTGTCCAGATGATAGAATCTGGCTCTATAAATCTAAAATTTAAGTGAATTAATTTATTTATTTATTCAGTTTCTACGCCCCTGGCAGGGTTTGTTTTGTAAATAAACTAACCTATGAAAAGAAAGTTTTAAATTCTTGGATCCAAGTCTTTTACAAACGTAGCACTGCTTCACCATTTTTATATCACTCACTATTGGTATTTTTCACTATAAAATCAAATAAAAAATATTAAATAAGTTGTGGATTCCAAGTATCTTTTACGTAAAATATAGATATAGACTTCAAAACAAATAAAGTCAGATGTGACAACTGAGGGAAAATATTTATTTTTGTTCCTTTCCACTCTTTTCAATGTAAATAAACTGGTCCATTTGTTTGTTGGTCTGTGGTGCGACTTGACCGTTTTGGATTAGTTTTAAAAAAATCCTCGATAATTTTAGATACACGATGCGTCGTACGGGGGGGAAGAGGAGGACTTCTTCGACGTGTACCACCAGAGCGCGGCCGCCAACGCGCTGCTCTACGTCGGCCTGGGCGCCATCGCGATAGGCAGCATCATCTTCTTCGTGGGCACCGGCGAGAAGGGCTTCAAGACGCTCGAGCTGCGCCTCATCGGGCCGGCGATGGTCTCGTGCGGGCTGCTGTGCTGCGTGGTGCGCATCCTGCTGTGCGCGTGCCCCTCCACCTGCCTGCGCAGGCGCAAAAACCCCGCGGGGCGCGGCGAGGACCCCGCCGCCCTCCACCCGCTCGCGAACAAGTGCCGTCGCGAGAGCGCGCGCGACCATCGGACAATGTCGACGGACTATCCGCCGATGGGCGGGGACGATAAGGTTTTGTTGCACAAACAGAAGAAAAAAGTGTCTATAGTGCCGCCCAATCACTCGCTGCCCAGCACCAGCACCCAAGAGTTCAAGGAGCTGCCGCACGTGGTCGCCACCGCGCCAGAGGACAACGTCAGGTAACAAGGTTTTCCTTCCAAACGTGTTTTTTCATTTCAAGCTCGTTTTCAATCATTTTATTTGGGGAAATAAGATTCTAATGGTCGAAATCGGACTCGAGTATTTAACGAAACGCATCCTATTAGCCAGGGGACTGTTTATAAAACAAAAGCAAAATATCGCGAAAGTGGTCATGTACGAAATGTTTCTAGACAACGCCAACCTATTGTTGAAAATGATGCGAAGCCTACTGTAGCCTTTTCAAACGAAACCACTCTAAATGGCGAAAGGTACTTAACTTCTCTTCAAGAAGATCTTGCACCATATTTAGCAGTTCAGTTTCCAAACCAAGATGATCCAAACTTACCAGACAAGCATCACGAAATCATGACGTTAGGCAACCCACTTTACAGACATTTTTATGTTGTTTACATTCCTTATGCTTTGGGTTTGTGTTGTTCATACAGATTAAAAATCGTTTTAAACGTCGTGTTTCTTACAGAGGCATGTTCCTCTTTTTTTTGTAAAAAATAAACCCTATTCTATCAGGACTGTCATCAAACTGTCAAATGTCAATCTTAAGGTTAATTTACCATAACCCACAAATGGTTGCCCTTGGCACAAGAGTTGTTACCAACAAAATAAATTGTTAATTTGCTGTTTTTCGAGATTCTCATCTTTCGAGTGATAATTCTGACATTTTGTGCAGAAAAATCAGCATACCGCAGATAAACCTTCCGGACGTCGAGGAGGCCAAGACCTCGCGGGAAGACTCGATCATCGAGCTGCAGAGCCTCGACCTCGCCTACGAGATCGAGTCGGTGTCGTCGGCGTCGTCGTCGTCGTCGGGCGACGACGGCACGCCGACCCTCGAGCCGACGAAGAAACACGCGCGCGCCCGACAACCGGCCAACAACGGCAACAGCGTCGGCAACGGCGACGACGTGGAAACCACGACGCTCAGCGTCGTCATCGAACGCAACGACAACAGCGAATCCAGCGACGACAAAAAGTCGGAGGTGGGGGGTTCGCTGGCGCCGCCGCCGCCATCTGGCGACAGAAAAACTCACAGCGGCATCGTGCTCAGCCCGTTGCAACTGGGACAATAATCGATGTTTAACTCTTAGGTTTGTATATGTGGTTCTTCAAGATCCAAACCAATTTTTACGGTACCAATAAGTTTCGTGTTTGTTCTTATCATGGAACACAATAAAAAAACATGGAACAAACCCATAAGCTAGATGGCGCTTCCTGTTTTGACACATTTTATTATCAACAGTTGGTAATGGGTCTTTCCTTCTCAAACCGACCAGCCAAAAAGGGGTTCATCATTATTTTTCAACGAATTTTTTTACAGTTTTTTTTAATTGTATGTAAATGTTTACTGCATACAAATAAGTATATAAAAAATTAAGTGAATTCACACATTTTTTTTTAAATTGTTTTTTCTAAAAAAGGCAAATTCTTTAGAAAAGACAAATTAAAAAAAAAATTCCATTTGAGAAGGAAAGGCCTTCATACAATTACATCTTAACGTTTAAATACTAATAACATACATAACAATAACTAATAAGGAGGTAAAATAAACTGATATCAATCAAATTGTGTGTTATGTGAAGGTATTATTAAATCCAATTTGTTTTTTATGTAGAAGAATTCTTAACTCTTAAGAAGAGTAAAAATTTTGACATATTTTTTTATCATAATATGGCAGCCTACTGCTGTGCATAAATTTACTTGACCAATGGTTGTGAAACATGCTATAAAAATCGCCGTAAACATTCGATTGGATCCCGAAGATAATCGAATAAAAAACTGTTAGTACCTATATGGAATTGATTATAATAAATGTGCAGAATGTTCTTCTATTCCGATAAAAATGTACTGATAAGGAAAAGTCGAACACTCGTCCAAAAGGGCTCCTCAAAATGCCGCAACATCCTGTAGCGCAAGTATAGTGCATTCATGTATTGGAAAAGTTTTCATTCTTTGATATCGGTGAAATCTTACTGAATTGAGCTTGAGGGGTTCTTGCAAAGAATAGGAATTATATAAATATGCATTTTATTTTGCGGTAAAGCAATTTTTGCAACGCGAATGTGTGTAAAGTAATATTTGCTATAAAAATTGTAACCTAGGGTGCCTGTGAAATCTTTTTATCCCTTAATTATTTAATTATGCTTTATTAATTTCTGTTATTCTATTTGTAGTTTTAATAATTATTATTATACTTGGTAAAGGTAAAATTACGACAAATTTTAAGATTTGTTAAATATTTTGCAACATTCACAAAGCAATATATAGCTGGCCTAAACGTTTATTTTTAAAATGACAATAGGGAAAATATGTATAATAAATTGTTTGTTTATTTATTCTACATAAGTATGCAACTTTTGCCCACAACAATCAAGTTTTGTATTTTTTAATATTTTCGCAAAACTATATTATAAAAAAGTGCTTCAAATAACACACTAAATGTACCATTATGAAAAATTATTTCTCCAATATTTTTTGAAAAGCACATACAAACTTCTCTTAAATTATAAATTAAATTTGGTATTTACTTTTTAAAAAATTGCCATTATTATACAACCTATATATATATATATATATATAAAAATGTACAATATATACTTGCTATTGTAACATAGAAAAGATAAAAATGTACTTCAATGTCACATAACTTTACCATACCTACTTAGGCTAAGTACATAGGTACCAAAACATTCCAGTTACCTGGTATCAACAAGCTGTTACATGATATAATTGTTTCATATAATTTTCGTTTTATACATACGTGTGGAAAGAGTTATATTTACGTTATAGAGCCGTGAAAAATATATTATAAATACATAATGGTTACATATCGACTATAATAAAGAAATGCCTAACTAACGTGTATTATTTCATTCATATCTTACTTAATATAAATCCCTGGGTAGAAATACTTTTAATTAATTAAAATTTCGAAAAATATATTTGCTCAAAAATCAGATAAACCTTAAGGTTAGTGGTAGCTACCAATCTAAACTTCAAATATATACTTTTTCTATGTTCAAATCCCTACAACTACTGTGGGATTGTTTCACACTTGTTTGTTTTATTCAAACAGTTAAAATTAAACTTACAAAGAACTAATTGCATTTTGATTATAACTGTAAAATTTTCTTCTTCTTCTTCTATACTTTTTATTCTCTCTTTCGAGAGAATTGGACTTGAGCCGATTAGGCTCTTACTGCCCAGTTACTAGTTTTTAAAATTTTATAATATTGAAAAGAATGATATTTTGAATACCGGATGGCCGATATTTCGAGCTACCAACCTAAAAGCTCAAAGTCCCTACAGTTCTTAGTTTACAGCGACATCTTCATAAAGGTAGTCAAACTACATAACCAACTATTCAGATTAATAAACAATATACTCGTGTTTTTTATTAAGTTGATAGCTTATGGCAGTTTGATTTAAAATTTAAAAAATGGTACTTCTGCTGAAGACCATAATTAAATACTCTGACACTGTCAAATTGACAGTAATATTTATTATTGATAATTAATTAATTAAGTTAACTTGTTAATTATTAAAAAAGTACATCGCCTAATGGACATTTTTGGAGTAAAAAAGTAACGTTTTTGGTTTTACAAATATTAAATCACACATTATTTTCAGCCAAGCAGATTTTTTGAAATTTAAAAAAATAAGTGGGGAATAAAAAAACAAAAAATAAAAATTATTCGCTGTTAGGTCCAACCTTTTTGTGAAAAATGTAGTAGTTAATTTTCCTGTCTTTGAAAATAGCATGCATTTGGTTTGAAAAAGTAAGCAATAATCACGAAACTTTTTCTTCTTTCAATTTGCAAGTTACTGATAATTAATAGTCCTGAACAATATATACATACACTACAAGAATTAACGTCCAGTGGCTTTAACAAAATACCCATTAATGGCGAATTCGCCATTGGAGTCCAATGATTGGACAACATTCACGTGTGTTCACATACAATTTTTATTTCTTTTATATAAATTCTTTTCAAAGCGAAGATTATTTTCTCTCCTAGGCCGTAGTCACCTATATTTAACTACTTTGATTGATTTTACTCAACTACTCACCACCGAACACAGATTATAAAGGCCACCGAAGCCAAATTAATTGCATTTTTAACTACGAATTTTGACGACTCAACTTGACAAACGTTCAATGTAACCTGCAATAATTTTAAACATAACCACAATTACATTTATAACTAGTTTAGTTTGTTTTAATCATGCAACCAATTTTAGTTCCGTATTTAGTAAATACGGAACCATAATTACCAACCAAAACCCTAAATTTGCAACGTTGCCGCAGTCCAGATAAAAAAATGAGTGGCAACGTAGCTGATGGCACGTCAGAGCGACGTTATTTAAAAGCCGCGATTTCACAGTGATTTCTCAAAATTTCCTGAGTGCATCGAAAAAATGTGAATGCAAAATTCTACGTTACCAAACAAAGAATTGATTTTATCAAATTTCCAGACATGACAATGTAAGTAATTATGCAATATATCGAATTTTTCGCACATAACCTTACTTATTTTACATGGATGATTTGATTTTTTTTGTGTTAAATATAATTATGCGATTTGGCATCTAAATGTTTAAATGCATACATACATACAATTTTACATAAAAGTGTGTCAGTAGGATTAAGTGTGAGGTCAAGGTTGCCGGGTCAACGTGCCCGGAATATTTAGCATGTTTTTTATTTCCGCTATTTCTAAAGACGCATCAAGTTAGCGAAACAATTGACCATATGCAAGGAATGCGGTCGATGTTGCCAATGGTAAAAAAATAAAATTCCATATTGGGAACATTCAATTATATTACGTTGGCTACATTGAAAATTTGAATTTCCCGCACAAACTGACATACATTCTAGTAGTTCCCAGAGATAAAGAAGGTAGTTTCAATGTTGTATAATAAATTAAGGTCCGAATTTCAAATGTGGGAATTAATATTATTTATTATTATTAAAAAAAAGATGGAAATTTATTTAGTTTGTGCGGGAAATTCAAATTTTCAATGTAGCCAACGTAATATAATTGAATGTTCCCAATAGGGAATTTTATTTTTTTACCATTGGCAACATCGACCGCATTCCTTGCATATGGTCAATTGCAAGGAGAATCTCGCCACGGCCACTTGATGTCAGCGAGATGGGCTAAATTTGAATTTAAAAAGTGAAAACGCGCGTTGTAGTGCTCATATGTGTAAATAGGCTTACAGCAATTTATTTAACTTTCAGAACGTGATGAGGATGTTACGGCTGGGAGAAAGTTTAAGAATTCCACCTGCAGACGTATTCATTAGCGAATTGTTTAGTGTAAGAAGAAAAATTATTAATAAGTAAACAAATCAAGGCATCATGGCGGTGACGGAAAACAAAAATTTTCAGTTTGTGTGCAAGAATTTGCTTTGTGGGGGTGAGTTTATGTTTAATATTTTTTTATCAATTGATTTAAACATTTAATTACAATTTTATCGCGTTTTTATACCGAAAATTATGCATGTGACACTTTTTTTTAATAATTTATTTTATTTTGCATTTAGCACTGATAGTTTATCTGCAACGTAAAAATACATTATTGGGAACTGTTTAATTATAATAATACAGAGTGTCTGTTTTTAAAGGCTGTATTTCAAATGCAATACTAAGCCTCAAAAACCGGACATTCTGTATATTAAGTTAATTATTTAAATAATTAGCTGCTTTCTAAATATTTGTATGCATTTATATAAATAAATTAACAATAGATGAAAAGCTATAAATTGTTTTCTGATTTCACAATGGTTAAACATTTATTAATATTAAAAAATGTAAAAATATGTATTAAATATAGGTTTACATAAAAAACGCTTGAAAAAATTGACATCTTTTTAGTTTAGCCTTTTTGGGCAGAATTTTTTTGTTGGCTAACCTCTTAAAGATTAGTTTAAATTAGTTTAAATTTAAATATCTCATTTACTATTGGTTAAACAAAAAAATTGATAAAACAAAAGATGTACCCAGCAAACACATAAGTCTGATTATGTAATGGCCCATTACATAAAAAATACAAATGTGTTGTAATAAGTAAAATATATATGAAAATTTTATTTTAAAAACTGTTTATTAGGTAATAAATGAAATTCATAATATTTAAATAAATAAAAAAAATAAAAAAAATAGCCATTAGCCATGAAACTATAGTTTCATGTTCATAGTACTTATTTATTTTATTATTCCACGATAATCGGAAATTGTTTTGTGACGGTAGGGAAATTTTTTTATTTAAATCGTAGTGCCATTTATAGATTCTCGTACCGTAAGGACGGCTTTCCTTCCTCCCGTAGAAATTTTTAAGTTTTATCTTTCACCGTAAAGGTCTTTGACATGAGCAATCACAGTGCTTGTTATGGACATGCGCTGTAGGGTGATAGCGCGTAGGCACAAAATATTTAAAATACATGATTCAGTTTATTAAATAATTTGTGTCTCTAAATAGAATATTTAGATATTGTTTATGATCAATGTCTTTCATTTTTAGAAACGTTGCTTTGTAAAACCCCGTAGTTTCCCGGTCTTGGTAAAGTGGGCGAATATAAACAAAAACAAATGTCAACCATTTTAGGTGTCATCGCGCATGGTTACGGAATTTTAAACGGAAATCTATAAATTGACTTTTTACAAGACGTACAAATCGGACGGGCACGACTACGGGCGGAAGGAAGGAAGGCAATCTATAATTCAGGCTCCTTCGTCGCTCGTTTTATAAATTGTCCGCGTGCGACAAAATGACGTCTTATGACATTAGTTCTTTAATATACTATTAAATAACCACTATAGAATCTTTAACACCCCATATCAGAAAGTTTAGTTTGCCACATTTGTACTTACCTAATCAATATCAAAAAATGGAATGGTAAATGGAAGGTAAATGCCTTTATAGACTGCCGTTACATACCCATTAAAGGTGAACACGACATAATATGTACAGTCCCATTAGAGTTAGCCTTTATATAGGGCCTATATAGGGCCTTTAGTTCATTAAAGGCACCTTCATAAAGAGCCATTAAAGAACCTTTACGGTTGTGTTTGCTGGGTAGGGCTTTAAATTTTCGACATAATTGTTTATAGGCAAAACTTTTTATATTTAGTTCATTTTTAATGTCTTATAAAACAATATTTTAGGAATAGCCGGTATGGTATCGAAAACAACAGTTGCCCCTTTGGACAGGGTGAAAATTCTACTGCAAGCCCATAACCGACACCACGAATCGCACGGGGTCTACTCGGGAATAAAGCACATAATAAAAACGGAATCACCATGGGCCCTTTACAAGGGCAACGGGGCCCAGATGGTGCGAATTTTTCCCTACGCGGCCACCCAGTTCACCTCCTTCGAGATGTACAAAAGATACCTGGACGGCGTTTTCGGCGCAGGGTCTCACATCGACAAATTTATAGCGGGTGCCGCGGCCGGTTTGACAGCTGTCACTTTGACGTACCCCTTGGACACCATCAGGGCCAGGCTAGCGTTTCAGGTGAGACGCTGTTCTTCATCTGCAATTTCACATGTTGCAGTATTCAGTACTCGTGTGTACAGCTCGGCAAATCTAGCTAGAGACGTAGAGTTTGTCTTAAAATAAAGAACGCTGCGCACATTGAATTAAAATGAAAGTAAATGAAGTATAAAAAAATTATTAATATTATCCCTTGAAAATTAATCTACGACTGTCCAAAGCCGGTTCTTTCTTTTCTATAAAACTTTAAATATTATCAATAAAGCGGCTACTCACTACTAGGCTCTTTAAAAATAATTAAATACATATAACTCTATTCTAATTGTATAAATAGTTCGAAAATTTTCTATTTTTTACTCTTAAATTACTTTAATAATGTTGATATTTCAACCTTTATTAGTCCTCTGTGCAGCCGAGATCGGCCGTATCATGCATCTCTTTTCTTCCGAATGCTTTCTCTCTTTACAGTTTTGCGCACACTGCAAGTTTTTAAAGTCTCTAGCTAGATTTGTCGAAGTCGCCGTCACTATCCAAATTATCCAAATCAAGATCCCATTTTTCAAATCTTGGGTCGTCTGGATTCATTTCAGACGGTCCTGGAATACTAGCCATGCTAAAATATTTTCTATAGGTGTTCAATTGCATAAGTAAAATAAAAATAAAAAACTTACCAAACCGCTACGCTGTGGTCTAGTAGACTGCGCTCGGCTTTTAGGGCGAAATAAAAAGACACTAATCACTCCACCCTTTATGCTGCGTTACTGATGTGTAAGATATGTATTTAGTGAAAGGTACACAGACCCCACCCAAGCAGCATTTTTGGTTCCAAAAACCATTGCCAAAGTGGTGATAACTTTAAATTAGTTAAGTATACTAAACAGCTACTTTAATTTTTACTTAAAAGTAATTCTAACTTTTAAATAGCAATATTTTGTAACAGAAACTTAATTTTTCCTTAAATTGTTACTATAAAGTAATAAACATTTAAGTAAAACTTGGTTGCCCCCAAGAAGACTTTGCAACTTTAAAAAAGATGTTATAAGTAAAAAAAACTTTCAAGTAAATTTAATTTGTAGCAGTTACTTTCGGTTGCTACCTAAAGATTACATTATAATTATTTTTACTTTGTAGTCCCTTTGCAAGTTAAAATCTCGAAACTGGAACATGAGTTAAAAACTACAAAGTTAATAACTTAAAAGTTATTATTTTAGTATTTGGAACGTTTATGGTACTAACCAAAACAACCGTAAAGTGGAAAAAACTTTAAAGTAGCGAAAACTACTTCAAAGGAAAATGCTTCTTATCGGCCATTTTTTACTGTACAGTACCACGTGGTAAAGTAAATAATAAATTATTTTAATTGTTTGTAAATGGTTGTTTACTTTTTAATAAATAGAAATATTGTTGGTAATAGACGGTATTAATAATTAAATAAAAAAAATAATAATAAATATTAAGATTTTTTTATTTATAAACATTACTAAATAAATAATTTGTGTATACTTAAATATTGATGAAGCGCATTTATTTTACAAAAACTAAATTCATAAGTTCAACAGTAAAATTTAAAGGGTTTATAAATCTACCTGTCTAATTAAATATTATATTGTTATTCTGGAAGTTATAAACTACATACATATTTAATAAACGACGACATTGAAAAGCCAAGTCCGTAGTGGTTCCATTTAAAAAAGGAGGGATAGTATAATCTAATATAAGTTTGACAAAGACAGTTAATATAGAAGTAAAAACAAATAATAAAAGTAATTATAACGCTCTAGCAACGATATTGGAACGTTCTAGTAACGTAGCAGCTACGTCCCAAATAGTAGCAGGGTTGGTAGCTAGTGACATATTTGCTACCTTTTTGGAACTCAATAATTGTTCCCCACTTTAGTCGTAACGTAGTAATAAAAGAGTAATATAAAGAGACCGGCGACTGTCGCAAAACACTTTGAAGTTTCTTCAATAGTCCCATATACGTAACAAATACTTAAATTGTTGCTTGGGCAACCTTCCAATTCAAATACAAACAAAATAATGGGAAATTTATACGCTACTAGCGCTACCACTCGGCTGATATCATCGTAACAAAAGAATAACTTTTAATAATCAGCTGTCAGACGCTTATGTTACAAACGAGTGTTTTTGAGTAGAAAGCCGGAAATGTTAAAAAATATGGGAAAAAAACGTGGTTCGATTTGTTGTGTTGTTGGGTGTATTTCGAAAGGAAATCCTGGGTTGAGTTTTACCGGTTTTCCAATACAGTGTTAATCTGAATGAAGAAATTAATTGCATACAGTATGGGTAAATATAAATTGTACCTATTAGATGCAATAAATACACATTTTAGTAGTGATTAACGTGAAAAGTGTAAACATTTCAATTCAGTAAATATCGTCAATCAAATAAGTAAGTAGAGATGTAAAAAACGGTTTTTTTTTCAGATGTGAAAAAACATGAAAAAAACCCTAGAAAAAAACCGTTTTTTTTTTGATTTTTTTTTACAAAATGAAATTTTGAGTAAAAGATAGAATATATTACATTTTTCATTATTAAAAATTTTGACCAAGACTAAAAAATCTGATTTCTTATTATTTGGTAGTTTCCACATTAAAAACCAATAGCAATGTAAAACTTCCACACTAATACAAAAAATTAAAGGATACAAATTTTTTTTTTGCGATTTGCAAATTTGCTATTGTTTTTTGAAAAAAAAAAATTCCATACTCTACATAAATTTGAAAAATCATGAAAAAAGTGCTTTTGGTAGCTTTTTGAAAAATCAAGTGCTGAATCAAAAATATTATATGTAGTTACTTTTTTTAGGACCAAATCAAAACAAGCGCGGCCCTTATTGGTCAAATCGGTGGTTGTGGAGAGTGCATAACGCGAGACTGTATTTACATTTAATAATTGTCATTTAGTGGCTAATTTTAGTCCATGGAAACATAAAAAATTAGGCAAATGGGACTAATCTTGAAAAAAACCTAAAATGTGAAAAAAAGCCATTTGAAAAAAAACAAAAAAAACGGACCGTTTTTTTTCAAGTCGTCTAAATTTAAACAGCATTTAGCATCATTAAAAGCGTTGAATAAGAAAGTCTCCACTCAATGGTAAAATACCATTATAGTATGTATTATAATATATAATATATATTATATATTATATATATATATATATTATATATTATATATATTATATAATATTATGTTGCCATGAATTTAAGGTTATGTTTGTGCAAAAATTATTTTTTGCTAATTTCTTAAAAATGTCCAAACTTAAATATAAATTATATTAGGTAAAGTTGTCATTAGTTAATTCTGCACCAACAAATGTACTTACCATTTGCAAATGGGATCCTTTGGAAAAACATGAAAATGCAACGATTTAGTTCTTGAATTTTATTTACAATTAAAAACACAATAATTCACCATGATCCCTTGGATAAAATACACACACTAACGTAACTATATAAGCATTTAAGCGTCGAGTTTCTTAATCGATGATATAAGGAATAATCAATCGAAATCGAGTACTACAAAAGTTTTTTAATTTTTCCTTGCAACGTAAAACAGAAATAACGTGCGCGATTTAGCTGTGCAATTGAACAAAAGTTGTCGAGTAAGACTTCTGCCTTCCTCTCTTTTGTAAAAAACTACCTATTTATTTAAAAATGATGTATAATCTGTGCTTTAAATGTATTGTTGGCAATTCTTCTTTGCAGATAAGTGGGGAGCACGTTTACACGGGAATCGCGCACGCGGCTGTCACAATCTTCAAGGAAGAAGGCGGCGCGCGCGCCCTCTACCGCGGCTTCGTGCCCACCCTGATGGGAATGGTCCCTTACGCCGGCCTATCCTTCTACTGCTTCGAGTACTTAAAGTGGGGCTGCATGAAGTACGTACCGTCGCAAACGTGCAGACCTTGCAAGAAGAACACGGGCGGCCTGGTGCTGCTGCTGCCCGCCAAGCTAATCTGCGGCGGACTGGCCGGCGCGGCCGCGCAGTCCGTCAGCTACCCGCTCGACGTGACGCGCAGGCGCATGCAGTTGGCCATGCTGTCGCCGGCGACCGCGCACTACGCTAAAGGCACGTTCACGACCTTGCGGCACATCTACAGGGAGCACGGATTGGTCAGGGGACTGTACAGAGGCATGTCGATCAACTACATGCGCGCCATCCCGATGGTCGCGGTCAGTTTTAGCACTTACGAGCTGTGCAAGCAGATACTTGACTTAGATACAGGTTTGAATCTTTAGACTGCTCTTTCTCGAATTTAATCAAGTTAAATTGCACTTTTTAACATTCCCTCAAAGGATTTAAATTATTATTTATATATCTCTCTCTAAAATATTGTTTTATGTTGTTGAATTGTTTTGTTAGGTTTGTTAGTCTATTTTATACGAAATTTGACAGTTATTACTTAATTTTGATTCATCAATAACATCAGCCATTTTAAAAACTGGACAAAATTTTACTGGTAATTTTTAAAGAAAAACACTTACCATATAAAAGTTAAGCTACTTAGTATCTTCATTTGAAAAGTTTCCATGGAATGATGATTTTGTGTTTTTACAAATAATATCATACTTTTTTGCGGCACAGATTACAAGTCAGAAATTGATCATACTTTGTATAGAAATCTTGCACTTTTAAAATTTACATTTCAAATTTTCTGGTGCCAACTTAACACACATAAATATGATAGTTTTAAACCTTAATTTTGCCATTATAACAAATTAACAACCTATATTGTAATTTTTATGTTGCTTTTGGTTTTTAATGATAGTTTAATTTGTGATAAAGTAGTAATTTGTTGATTAAAATACAACGTTTTATTTTTACTACATTGGCACTGCTGAATTTTTTATCATGGCCTACTGTTATTTATTTATTAACTACCTTAACTTTGTGTTTCCGTCAAATTACGTTTTCAGGTATTACTTAATTTTGATTTATTAATGACAACAGCCATTTTGCTGCAGCTTCAATTTCGTAAATTTCATTAAAAACCGGACAAAAATTTTAGTGGTAATTTTTAAAGGAAACCACTTACCATACAAAAGTCAAGGTAGTATATTCATTTGAAAAGTTTCCATTGAATGATTATTTTGTGAGGCACAGACACATTCATAAATAATTTCATACTTTTTGCAGCACAGATCCAAGTCAAAAATGCATTACACTTTGTATAGAAATCTTGCAAACACTTTTAAAATTGGCATTTCAAATTTTGTGGTGCCAACTTAAGAAACACATAAATATGACAGTTTTAAACCTTAATTTTGCCATTATAACAAAAAATTAACAATTTATATTGTTACTTATTTAATTTGTATGTTGTTTTTGCTTTTTAATGAAACTTTAATTTGTAATAAAGTAATAGTTTGATAATTAAAATTCAACGTTTTATTTTTACTACATTGGCACTACTGAATTTTTTATCATGGCCTACTGTTATTTATTTATCAACTACCTTAATTTTGCGTTTCTGTCAAATTACGTATAAAAAAGATAAGGACTTTTAAATGGTTTATTTTTTTTAGAATAAGGACACAAAAGTCAATTATTTTATTATTATTATTGCTATAAATAGAAGATATTCAGAATATCGAAAATGGTAAATTATTTATCTTACTTAACATATTATGTACGTATGTAATTTGTACTGTTTGTATATAAACAAAAAAATAAATATAAAATATTTTCACGATTTTTTTTATTTTTTTTGAGAAATAAAACATTGCATCATATTTCAGAAATCTCGAACTAATTTCAAAGGATTTACGTGCGTTTTCGGTTGTGCGTGCTTGCGCGTTGGTTTGACGCGCCGCACGCGGGGTGCGGCGGTCGATTTTCAGATGTTTTCATGGGTCACCTTGACGCGGGAAGAACTCCGAGCATCCAGTAGGCTGCCGGGTTTTCTCAGTTCAGTTTGTCGGAATCACCTTGAGTTTGTTCGTTACGTGTTTAAAAATACGCCGGCATTAAATTGAAAGGTATGTAAATATGCATACATTGGTTTATAGCTTTTTTAAGTTATTTTGGTATATTTTTGTTCCATATGTTGCCAATTTAGAATTTTTACTAATAACATACATTCTCTCCGTATACCGTGTGAGCGTGTCTGACTTTGAATGTAAACGTCAGATTTAAAAACGCCGTTTTTTGCAAAAACATTTTGGTAAACAATATATTACCTGTTAATTTATTTTAGAGAAAAAATGGAGAAGGAAGCGCGCGGGAAAGGAAGTAAGAAATTCCAAAACAAAACAAAAACATTCTTTTACAATAAAAAATTATTTTTTCAGATGGTTACAGGTACCTTATGGCCACACTGGGCTCGAGTGGCTTAGGGCTCATATACGGCCTTAAGGTCAATCTCCATGTCGCTATAGTGAGCATGGTAAATCACACTGCAGTGTCTGGTGGTAGTAGTCATAATAAAAGTGGATCCAGTAGCTGCGATGATGTTTATCCCGTTTCAAACGATGAAAAAGCCGAGGTAGGTTTCATAATAGACAAATAATGAATGATGACGCAAGTGCTATAATAAATCTCACTTGAATTATTTAATAAAAAGATTTCGGCTCTCTAATAAAATTGACCCAGGTCCTATATCAATTTAAAAATGATTAAATGTTTTTAATTGAGGTCGTTATTTTTATTGATTTTTTGTACAGTTTTTTTTTGCTTTGTTCACCCGTAGTAAATGTTTGAAAAATTGTCTCTTTTTTTGTTTTTTTTTTAAATTGTTTTTTCTAAAAAAGCCAAAAAAATTGTTATTTTTTTAATGAAAATCCCATTTTCTAGTAAATTCGTGGTTTATCGCCAAAATTTCGTGTTTTATCTAGGGTCATGAAAATGGGTGACCTTTATAGAGTGTAATTTAAAACTTTTTGGCATATTTAACTTATTTTCGTCACTTCCGGTTTCACAGGAAATGGTCTTACCATTTTATTTTTTAATGAAAAACTCTGTGCTTTTTTACATATTTTGATTCAAAATAAAATTCTGAATACATACAGATGTCATTTGTCAATTTTTGATAGGTCAAATCATTTTTTGATTAAATTTTATTGTATTGACTTTTCTGTCTGGAAGTCTGGAAAAAATACAATTTTGTAAAATTGAAAAAACCCACTTTATCTATTTTGCGTTCATAATGACTTCATTATAACACCGCTTTCGGTACTGTAATGAGATACTTTATCCCACCCAAAATTTTAATTTTATAGGTTGGCTATACTTAAAACATTTAAATATTTTGCATATTGGTTATAATATTTTTATGATTTTTCTAGTACTTACGAGACTTTTCTGGCAATAAATGTTGTTAAACACCAAAAAAAATCCTTTTTTTTCTGCTTTAACATTAACAGCCGCTTATTGTAAATAAGTAAATTAAGGAAGGCATGGCGAATCGATTTTGACATTAACTGTCAAACCAATGACTGTGATACCAACTATCTAAAGTAAAATTCGGCCAAATTAAATTGAAGGTATAAAATTATTTTTTTTATAGAATTTTTGCAAAATAGATAAAATAGCATAAAGAACTCATGTCTTACTATTATTTATATTTATATTAACTTTTAATTTTACTATAAAAACTTAAGCTAAAACTTTTTATAAAATAATAATGGAATCAAACGGGTGTAAGTATTTTTTGGTTTTAAAACTACCAAATAAAATCATTCAAATATTTTGAAACGATTATAAAAAGTTATATCTAACTGCCCCATATATAGTGTGACCATTGTAGGAATCTCTAGCAATAAATAAAAAAACGAAGGCTCTTAGGCTTAATACTTGTTTCGCGACTGCCTCACTCATATCTGTTAACCGACCGATTTTTTTCGTAATTGTTTGTGTTCTACTGTTCTTTGATTTTGGTAGAGAAAATGATGTACCTCTTTTTGTATGGTCGATTTGAGATAAAAAGACCCTTGAACGATTTTTCGTTAGCAGCTTTTGCCGACTATTTATAATTTCATAATCATCGACTCGAGCTACAACGCAACTGTTTTAAAAAAGGCCCTGTGTTCTTTCAGGACGGCCCATTCGTTTGGTCCACCGTGGTGCAGGGCGTCTTGTTGAGCGCCTACTTTCTGGGCTACATGGTGGCCGAGCTGCCGGGCGGGCGCATAGCCGAGGTGTTCAGCGCCAAGTGGGTGATGTTGGGCGCCGTGGTCGTCAACATAGTGGGAGCGCTGTTGACGCCGGCGGCGGCGCTTTGGCATTACGGCGCCCTCATCCTGATACGCGTGTTGCAGGGCTTCGGAGGCGGGATGACGTTTCCCGCCATGCACGTCATATTGGCGCACTGGGCGCCGCCCACCGAGAGGTCCGTCATGAGCAGTATTGTCTACTCTGGGACTGCCTTGGGGACAGTGGTAAGTACACTTGGTAGTTTTATCGTTTCTTAGCAACTTTGGAAGTCTGTAATTGTGTTATTTTTTACCCAAATTTACATAATTACATCAAATGTTAGACAATTTCATCCACTTAATGTTAATATTTTAATAAGCCCAGTGCACATTTTTCGAGTTATCCACAAAATATAAAGTCGTGTGGATTTTAGTACTAGTTAAAATTAGAGTCTGGGTTTTCCAATAAACAGTGTTAATATGAAAGAAGAAATAAATTGCATACAGTCTCTGTAAATATAAATTGTACCTATTAGATACAATAAATACACATTTTAGTAGTGATTAACGTGAAAAGTGCAAACATTTCAATTCAGTAAAAATCGTCAAACAAATAAGTCGTCTAAATTTAAACAGCATTTAGCATTATTAAAAGCGTTGATTAAAAAAGTCTCAACGGTAAAATACCATTTTTTTTTTGGCTTTTAGTGTTTTCTAGACTATTTAGCCAGCTCATGATGTATAAAATACCATTATATTATGTATTTCCTATAGAGATGCGACTTGAAAAAAAACGGTCCGTTGTTTTTTTTTGTTTTTTTCAGGTTTTTTTTCGTTGTTTTTTTTTCAAATGGTTTTCACATTTTAGGTTTTTTTTCAAGATTAGTCCCATTTACCAAATAATAAGAAATCAGATTTTTTAGTCCCGGTCAAAATTTTCAATAATGGAAAATTTAATATATTCTACATTTCACTTTATTATTAAAATATATATATATTTTAGGTACTAAAAACTTCATTAAAAACAAACAAAAAAAACCAGTTTTTTTTCTAGGTTTTTTTTTTGATGTTTTTTTTCACATCTGAAAAAAACCGTTTTTTTACATCTCTAATTACCTATATATAATATTTTATTGCCATGAATTCGTTGGTATATTTTGTTGTTTAAAATGCAGTTCTCGGCGTTTTTTAGAGAACTAAAACATAAAAATTGTTGATTTTAAGGTTGTTTGTGCAAAAATAATTTCTTAAAAATGTCCAAACCTAAATATAAATTATATTAGGTAAAGTTATCATTAGTTAATTCGGCACCAACAAATGTACTTACCGAATTGGATCCTTTGGCAAAACATGAAAATGCAACGATTTAGTTCTTGGATTGTATTTACAATTAAAAACACGATAATTCACCATGATACACACACTAACGTAACTATATAAGCATTTAAGCGTTGAGTTTCTTAATCAATGATATAGAGAATAATCAATCGAAATCGAGTACTCGCAAGAAATGTAACAGAAACCCTAAAAACGTTTTCGTACTGTTATATTTTAAACACTCAAATTTAAACGTTCCTGTTTTGTATTCTGAACGTAAGCATAATCATGCCAACAAGCTATACAATACATAAACGTTACTGTATCGTTTTACCTTTACCCTAACACATTTACGTTGTGATGACTCTAATTTTACAACGTTAGTGTATTGTTAATATATCTACGTTAATGAAACGGTATATATGCTAACTGTTAATCCTTAAACGTATATGCAACGCTAATTTATCAGCGTTATTGAATTGTTAATAAATTTACATTAACTAAACGGTACATAATGACTGTTGATTCCCAAACGAAAATATAACGTTATCCTGCCGTTCATTAAGAACGTTTCTAGAAGGTTTATAAATGTACATTTATTAAACGTTACATATTGATTGTTTATAATCAAGTGAAAATTTAGAAGCAATGCGCAGCTGCCAAAAAACCAAGCCAATATGGCTGTTTGGCGTCACACGTGTTGGGAGTTTGTTTGTTTGTTCTTATTATTCACGGTTATTATTTAAACAGCACGCTTTTGCTTGGACAATGGAACAATATAGAAAAAACATTGAGGTGAGTACCATTTACTCTTTTGTAATTGCTTAGGTATATTCCATTGCAAAACATTAATGTAAATCATACTTACAAAAAGGTGCACAAATTTTAATGCTTTGTCAATCCTATTTTACTAAAACAAAAATTCTTAGATTTTCTTTCCTAAAATATTTTGTTGGTGTCATATTTATTTTGAAACAATTATTATTAGAAATATGTAAATGAAATCACACTGTTGAGTTTCCAAGGTCAAATGATGGACTATCTGACCTGAGCTCATCTCCAGAGATAAACCACCAAGTGCAAGAAGGTAATACTTTAGAGAAATTTTATGAATATTACTGAAGTTTTCATAATTTCAGAGGCAAATCCAATAGAAGCGGAGCTAGCGGAGGCAAATAAATCCAGTTGATACATACGATGAATTCCCCATTATTATTGCAATGGGAGCATCTGATATTGAAACTTGTAAAAAAAAGTGTGAGTAAGTCCAGCTCCAATAGTAACTATTTATTTTTTAGTTGAGTCACGCGTCATTAATTACTTGATCAACAGCTTGCTCGTGGATAGATAAATCCGATGGGAAATCGGAAAATCTTCGTATTAAGGACCTAAGAATTGCAGAATGTATTACAGGTACGATATTATTTTTTTTATTTTCTAACCATATATGCTATATTGAGATTGCTGTCACTTTTTCTGTCTAGGCAGGCAAAACTGTCACTTTACTGGTCTAGACAGGAAAAGTGACAGCTGTTCAATTTCCGTAATATATTTAGGTGCTTTCTTTCATATTATTCTTTTAAAGTATAATTACTTAAAATCATGAAACTTACCTTCTCAACATTTATGAAGTAACTAAAAATCAGGATTTATTTAGAACACCAACAAAATTTGTAAAACCGTTAAATTCAAAACCCTAAAATTCATTACACTAATTGTATGTTGGTTGCATAATATTAAACAACATTCCTAATTTTGATTGGTTTTTGAGCTAAAAAACTCATGATTTGGGTTGAAAATTAAATAGTATACAATACTCAACGGAAATTTCATTACTGTCTCGAGAATTAATTTATCGACGCTACGCGTCTTGATAAACTACCTAATATCTCGACTAGTAATGAAACACTTTTCGTCTCGTATTGTAATATACTATTACGTTCGCTTTGTAACTTTTAAAATTTGATGGTACATTGAATGAATATGTCTTTTAACTTATTTTCTTTCATGTCTAGGCGCGGTAAAACGGCACTACCCAGCACTAATAATAAAAATATTCGAGAAAAGCGCCATGGATTTTTTCCGTCAAGGAAACCATCGATTAAAACGTGAAAAGGTTGCAATTGAAAAAAGTGCCGTTAAATGAATGACTAGAGAATAAAGAAACCAAAGAATATTTGTTTAGTTTTGTAAAAATATTTAATAAATTTTTTATAATTTTAAGTAAAACATTTTTATTTCATGAATTACATTACCACACCATACCACACCACGGCTGGTGGATTTTGCATATGCCATATCTCAGTTATTAGACACCAAATTTATATGAATTTATAATGACACTAAATTAACAATTGAAATTTTTTCGAAAAAAATATAGTTTTTGCTCTGCCTACCCTGCAGCCTGGCCCCCCTAATAAAGATAATAAAAATTTAAATAGTGCAATTTATAATTTACCAGTTTATTAACAAATTTCAAATTTATTTAAAAAATCCAAGTATTACATATTTTATCCCATATTATTTTTTTATTATTTTAGGAAAAGAAATAAAAATTTAAATCTGTAATATTTGGATTTTAATTTGAAATTTGTTGATAAACTATGGTAAATTATAAATTGCACTGGCCCTAATAAAGATAATACAAATTTAAGTATACTTAAATTTGTATTATCTTTATTAGGGCCAGGCTGCAGGGTAGGCGGAGCAAAAACTATTTTTTTTTCGCAAACTTATATTTGAATTCTGCTTGTGCTTGTTAATTTAGTGTCATTATAAACTCATATAAATTTGGTGTGGGTACCATGTCTAATAACTAAGATATCGGTATACGCAAAATCCAGCAGCCGCCACTGTTATGCCAACGTTAAATCGATGCTGCGCGGTACCACCATATGTAACACCACAACCGGAACGTTACATAAACGTTTTGATAATAACGTTAAATGGATGCTGCGCGGTACCACCATATGTAACATCACAAGCGGAACGTTACATAAGCGTTTTAAAAATACCGTCACAATGTTACGTTGCAGAAGGCGGACATTAACTGTAACTGTGACGATGCCGTTACGTTTATGTTACCTTAATGGACACGTTACAGTAACTCGTTAACAGTAATAAAACGTTTAAGCAACAGATCCTTGCCAAGTGGGGTACTAATCCAGTTTTTTAATTTTTTCCTTGCAACGTAAAACACAAATAACGTGCGCGATTTAGCTGTGCAATTAAACAAAATTTGTCAAGTAAGACTGCTGCCTTCCCCTTTTTTGTGAAAGCGTATAGAAGATTTATTCATCAGTATTATTTTTTGCAGATATTTATGTTGGTTTCTGGAATAATAGGCAGTAGTTTGGGTTGGCAATATGTGTTTTATATTGAAGGTGCATGTTCCTGTATATGGATGATATTTTGGATTATTTTTGCCGCTGATTCGCCCAATGAAACTTCGTTTATTAGTCAGGATGAGAGAAGCATGATTGCGGCGTCACTTGGTGATGAAAAACACGAGGTTTTAAATATTATTGGTATAATTTTTTTAGTAAATGCGTATTTTTAGACGAAATCGGTACCTTGGAAAGCCGTTTGGACTTCCAAAGCCTTCTGGGCGATTCTTATAGCTCACACTTGCTCCAACTGGGGGTGGTACATGGTGCTAATAGAACTACCGTCGTACATGAAGATGGTGTTTAATTTCAAGCTCTCTGACAACGCTGTTTTAACTACTATACCGTTCCTGTGCATGTGGATTTTCTCCATGATCTTGAGCAAAGTTTTGGACACCCTGCTCATCAAGGAAAAGATCACGACGACTTGGGCGCGCAAGACGGCAACCCTCATCGCGAGCCTCGGCCCTCTTCTGTGCTTTGTGGCGCTCTGCTTTATCGGCTGCAGGCGCGAGTGGGCGGTGGCGCTCATGTGCGTGGCGGTCACGTGCATCGGGGGCATGTTCTGCGGCTTCCTGTCCAACCACATCGACATCGCGCCGAATTACGCGGGCACCTTGATGGCGCTCACGAACACTGTTGCCACGATCCCGGGGATTCTGGTGCCGCTGTTCGTCGGCTGGCTCACCCACGACGACGTAAGTATTGAAACGTTGCGTCGATTCGATGTGAAATTCGTTTTTTAGCCCGGCATCAACTCGTGGCAAATCATTTTCGGCGTGACGATGGTTCTGTACGTGATCGAAATTTTGGTTTACACCACCATGGGCTCTGGGGTGGAACAGTCCTGGAATAAATAGCAGGAGGCCGGGGAAAATCTTCCTCTCATCGCCAATAAATAAATAAATCACACAAGCCGAAAAAATAATATTAATGTTTGTGTGGAATGCTTTAAATATAAGTAGTACCATTAGATTTTAATTATGTTTTAGCAACATATAGTATTTTACGTATATTTCAAGAATGACTGAAAAAAACTTTTCTCTGCCATTTTTACCAGACTTTACTGGACAATATTGTACAAACTCAATACAAATATAATATAATTATTTACATTTTTTGCTTATATTTTTTAATGCATTTGGTGTAAAAATAAAATATAAATAGATATACATTAGACAACATGTGGTTTAATTTTATAGCTCCAGCTGTTATTTTGACAACTGTCGTTTTTGCATTTGTCATCTTGGAATCTATCATTTTGACAGCTGTAATTTTAGCACTTGTCATTTAGACAAAAATTAATTTCTCCATTCAAATTATTATATATTGATAATTTTCATTTTTTGCTTATATTTTTGGAGGGATTTAGTGTAAAAATAAAATATATATAAATATACATAATAGAGAACATATGATTTAATTTCATAGCTCTAGCAGATTTTTCTATATTCCAAGGAAAGATAACGTACATTAAATGTTTTTCGACACCTTTCATTTTGGGTTCGGTAATTTTGACAGTTGTCGTTTTTTCACCTGTCATTTTCACAGCTGTCATTTTCCACCTGCATTTTGACTTTTGTCGTTTTGACAGCTGTCATTTTGACTTTTGTCGTTTTGACAGCTGTCATTTTGACTTTTGTAGTTTTGACATATGCCATTTTGACTTTTGTCGTTTTGACAGCTGTCATTTTGAAAGTTGCCGTTTTGACACCTGTCATTTTGACACCTGTCATTTTGCACCTGTCTTTTGGCAGCTGTTATTTTAGCACATGTCATTTTGACAGCTGTAACAGCTGCACCAGTCATTTGGACAAAAATAAATTTAACTCGATAACAAATTATGTATTAAATAATTATTTACATTTTTTGCTTATATTTTTAGAGGCATTTGATATAAAAATAAAATATTTTACATACATACATAGTATATAACAGGTGATTTAATTTCATAGCTCTAGCAGATGTTTTAAAGAAAAATAACGTACATAAAAAGTTTTTTGGCACCTGTCATTTAGACAACTGACATTTTGACGCCTGTCATTTCAACAGCTGTCATTAAGAAAAACTAATTTAACTCAATACAAATTATTATATAATAATTATTTACATTTTTGCATATATTTTTGAAGACATTTGGTGTAAAAATAAAATATATAGATATACATAAAAGACAACAGGTGGTTTTATTTTATAGCTCCAGCAGATATTTTAATAAAAAAATGACTATTTTTAAACATACCTATTTATTTTTTTTGCTTCTTTTGGGATTCCCCTTTAACCTTTTCACAACCAAAGGTTTATAATTTTTAACTATTTCTAAAGATTTGCTTGTGTCCATATTTTCCCCAAATGACAAAAAGTTATCATTCTCTTTAGGGTTATCTTTTGATGATGACTCAGTAGGAACAAAAGTTCTCTTTTCATTGGAATTTCTTAGCAAATATACACTTTTTTGAATTGCTTCCACATCTATTTCAGATATCACACGTTTTGTAATTTTACTTTCTCCACTACTACCACTAACAACATCTTTTTGAACAGCCGGATTATTCCGTTTATAATAATTTATATGATCAGTAGGTACAGGGTGATGCTGAGAAATATGTTTCACCTCAACAAGAACAAAATTTAAATCACTATTTATGTGAATGCTGCATTTAAACCCTACAACAACACTGTTAAAACCACATGTTGCCTTCAATTTATTTCTTAACTCTTCCACAATCAAAACATTACAATTATTTAATACACACATATCTATCACATGCCCCACCATCAATCTTGGTTGGACGTCACTGGATATTAAAACTGAATCCAACTCATTTTTTTCCAAGCATTTTGTGACGTCATTTACCCCAAAAACGATTCCAAAACTACAAATGTCCAAAACACAATTTATAAAAAAATATCATGTATACATTATAATAGTAATAATATTGCTAATTACCTCTCAGGTTTTTTATTTTCAACTTTTACATCACTGTAATCTTCACGAAACTGTTTTCTTTCGCCCCTTGGAACAGATTTTAGAATATCCCATGGCACGCTAGTTCTTGGTGTTTTAATGCGTGGCAAATATTTTTCCAACGCCCCCGTTAACTTTCTATTATCTTCTTGCGAAATTTGAGGCCTACATTTCATTTATTTTAGTAAATTTATGTTTTTATTCACAATATTTACCAGAAAGAGTTGTACGGCGAAGCCACCACATTCTTTATGGTCACCCTCGACTTTTTTTTCGAAGAGAGCGCGTTTTTCTGTTGATTTTTGCTTAAAATAGGGGTCTCCATCTGAAAAAACTAGGTTATGTTCGCATGACTGATAGGTTATGTTTACGTTGTGTGTTTCAGTTGGTGACCCTGTAATGACAGTTCACGAAGCCAAATATATTTTTGAATAAAAAAGAACGCATGGTTTACGTGAAATCATGTCTTGCCCAGGATTATTTTTTAAGACGTTCAACACGCTCAACAACCCTCTATTTATCAACAGGTTCGTGAATACATAAATAAATTAAAACTGTTGTTGTTTACTTATCGTTTCTAGGGTTATTAACGTAAACCAGGTGGCCGTGGCCGGTTTAAAACAAAACACCAAAGACCTGCTGGATAAATTAAACATCCCCGAAAAACCAAAGAGGCCCTTGACGGCGTATTTGAGGTATTTAGCTGAGCATCGTCCAGTTGTAACGAGGGAGAATCCAGATTTGAAAGCCAAAGATATCGTGAGAAAATGCGCGGAGGACTGGAACAAACTGCACGTCTCGATTAAGGATAAGTTCGCCGCTGAATGGAAGGTGGAATCTGAGTCGTATGACACCAAGTTGTTGAAGTATAACGAGTCTCTAACCCCAAATATGAGAGATGCCTTAAAAAAGGCCACCAAAGAACAGAAGTCCAAGAAGGAGAGGAGGAAATTAAAAAAGGTATGTATAGTAAATTTAAAAGTAAACTACGTACACGTCATCAATAAAACAAAAATTTTACGCATTGGTACCAACACTAAATGACTAAATCGAAGTCTGTAATTGAATATTTGAATGCATTTTAAACATCATCAGTTGGCAACAATTAAGATGTTGTCATATTTACATTCAAATATTTCATATTTAAATGACACATAAAAAAGAATTTGACGTTTTAGAATTTCGAAGCTGTCAGTTGTGTTTTTGAATATTTCGTTTAATTTGTGTATTATTTCGTTTATTTTGTTTGTTGTTTGTGTTATTTTATATCGTTTAAGTTTTCATTGCCGTTTTTGTGTTTGTTATATATCGTTTTTTTGTGTTTCCTATATTTAAAATGCCGAAGCATTTAAATAGTCGGAGTCAAGAGTTGGTGTCATCCTTAATACGCTATTTTGAGGCAGAACGGGATAATAATGGACCTTTGTTACCTTTAACAGCTATTAGAGAGGTAAATAGGATTATTATTAATTATATATTAGAAAATTTAACAAAATATATGTTGGATCCATAAAATAATAATATATATACCAGAGACTGACTTTAGATGGCAAAATTTTTGGGTTTTATATCAGAAAATGTCTTTAAAAATGGCTAAAAACATACTTTTGGCGGTGCATCATATAGGTTATAAAAACTCAGACTTTTGACATTTTGGTATTATTCATGTAAACGCCATCTATCGCCCTGTAGTTGCACTACCACTTTCCCTTCATGCAAGGATTTTAGCATCACATTGACAACCGTGCCCGATCAGCTGATTGATGACGTGTACGTAGTTTACTTTTAAATTTACTATATATTGATGTTGCAAACATTTCAAAAAGTGAAATGTCAAATTTATGTCAGAAATGTCAAATGTATTTCAGAAATGTCAAATAACAGTTACAAATGTCATAAACAATTATTTTTTTTAGCTTTATAGAGAACATAACAAGCCAAAAAGACCCTTGACAGCCTATGCCTTGTACCTGACTGATTTATGCAAACAAGAGGGAAAACATCTGAGAGATATTTTTGCAGAAAAAAAGCAGGCGTGGTCGACGTTACCGCAACAAGAGAAAGACAAATATCAGGATATGTACATAAAAGAAAAGGTTAGGTTTGAAAAGGAGTTGGCAGCTTGGGAAAAAAAGATGAGAGAAGACGGTCATGAGGATTTGGTTGGTAAAAAGGAGGAAGTGATTCCTGCAAGCTTGATGAAAATGAAGAAGGAGAAGCCGATAAAGTCGGCCAAAAAATAGGGGGACGAGTGCTTTCAGTCCAAAATAACCACCTCCGTGGATGAAGGCACTAATGTTAATAATAACATTGAAACATTAAAAAAGTCGGATCGAGAATCTCATCTGCAGGATAGTTCTTTTGTTTCAAAGGATCGGATAAGTGAGGTGGAAAATTTGAATGTTAAAGATGAGGATTTGAAAGGGGAGAAGAAAGGCGGTATTCTTAAAAAACTCACTGACATATTCAAATTTTAATAAATATTATATTTTTTTGCCATACTTACTAACCCAGTATATTTCAGTTTTTTTTGTTTTTAAATAAAACGGTTTTAGTAAAGTTGCGTTTTATTATAAAGAAAAGTATTTACAAGTAATAAAAATAACAAACTAAGCTTCTATGGAGGCATCTGCTCGCGGGCCCCGATCGTCTCCGGTGAAATTGGGGTACAACTTGGCAACCTGGCCGTCCCCGGAAGAATTGAGCCTGCCGACGAAATCCGGGCGCGATTTGCTTTTGTCCTGGGCGGCGAAAATATCGAGGAGTGTTTTGGGTTGCGCCGAGTAGAGGGCGCTGCCCGACTGACGCGAGTTTTGATTGGACGACGTCGACCTGGAAAACGCGGGGGCGGCTATGCTGGCCAGCGGCGGCGGCGACATGGGGGAATCGGTGGTGGCGCGTATTACGGAGGCGCGCTGTTGCTCGCTATCCGTCGATTTCGCCGTGTTGGCTGCTACAATAATAATAATTATGTAGTTTTTTCATGACATTCTTATGAATGTCAAAGCATTTTGGTTTAAATTATTTACACCTATTCAGCTGTCATTTTTGCACCTGTCTTTTGACAGATGTCCTTTTGAGAGTTGGCGCTTTTGCACCTGTCATTTTTAAA